AAATGTTGCAGTGAGGAGAAGAATTGAAGAAGTTGGTATGTATTATGTTTGAGATTACCTTGTGTTGTGAATATTCAGCAGAAAATTAGAAGCATAGAAATTAGGAAGCAGTGTGTGAGTATGAAAGGCATAATTCAGAAGGCAGAGAAGGGGTTGATAATATGGTTTACTCAAACTGCCATATTCTGGGCACTTTTACAGGATAGCTCTGCTAGATGAATGCAGTTTCTTGTGATCAGTGGATAGTACCAAAAGCTATTAGTGAAAAATCCATTTTTTAAAAAATGGTGACACAAAAAGGGTTTTCAATTTAGGTGGTGTTGACACTGCAAGGATTAATGAGAAATTATGCATGTTTAGGAAACATGCAAATCTTCTGACTGAATGAGGCTAATGTTTAAAATCTCTAACATTTATGAAGTGAGGGGAAGTACAGTGCCTGCACTCTGAAAGAGAGGTTGGGATATTGGAGTTTGCAGCAGCATCTGAACTGTAATGTCAGCACATCTCTGGCAAGTGACAGAGTGACGGTGAAAGTGTTTCTTCTTTTTCAGGTCACCCTGCCTCAGTGGGAGACAGCCAGTGTGTTAAAAAAAAAAGGTATTCATTTAATTTACTGTTTATGATCCAGTCTTGAAGATTAGCACCACATTTGGCTATGTTGGTATGTAATCTATAGAAGCTTCCACTGATTAGGGTTTTTCAGTTTTTGGTTGTAAATTGTTCAAATATAAATTTACCCAGTTCATCTCAAGTACATTAGTACATGTTGAATTAATACATTTCATCACATTAATGTAGTAGATGGCAATTCCACCTCACTTTTGATCAGATCTGCAGTTATGTTATGGCTCTGTACCCAGGTAAGTTATAAATGTACAACTATTATAAATGTACATCTGCTATAAATGTACAACTATTATTAATGTACAGCTACTTCCTATAATGCACAACCATTATAAATGTACAATTATATATTATGAATGTACGACTATCTATTAGTATAAATATACAACTATTATAATGGTATAACTATTATAAATGTACAATCATTTATTATAAATGTACAACTACAGGTCGTCCTCACTAATCCGGCAATCAGTCATCTGGTTCCATCAGTAATCCAGCACTAATTTCAGCTAGCATAATTTCAAATTTCCGGGGTCACCTCACCAACCTGCCGCTACTGTTGGGTGGCGCGACTTGCTGCATAAGTATTCCAATTTCTTTTTCTCCATTAACTGTTATAACCTGCTCACTTTTAGTCCTACCCATGATTCCTATGAATAAAAGAAATGCTTCTCGTTGTGTAAAGTACATACACCGTACAGTGTCCATAAAAGATAAGATGGCTTTGAAGCCGCTGTCAGTCACCATGAGTTCAGTTCACTCAGATAAGTTGTGGCTGGTAAATTTGGGCCTACACATGAGAGAATAGGTCTGTGTGGTAAGTGTGCACTATATTAAAAAAAATCCTGCAGCACACAGTGCATAATGAGAAAAAAAGGCAACTGTGCTTTTGGTGTAAAACAGCAATTTTGCGGTGTATTTTTGCATGGTTTGTATGGTTGTATTCTCTGTTTTTTTTTTGTCTCATTTGATGGGATAGAAGATATATTACAGAAATAGATATGATTTTAATTGGTTTCATGCCAGAAAGTACTTAAAAATTGAGCTCAAAATAGCAGAAATGTTCGATTTTTGCTGATGTTCAAGAGAAAACAAATGATGTCACCATCAAATACATGTCCAACTGGATGGTCTAATACGCAATCATGAATGGGTTGATGTTATTTATACAATTATTGCATTAAATCAGTAGTCTGCATAACAGGGGCCTGGAGATGTGACTAATGAACAGAGAAAATGTTAGTGCTAGGAATGTCTGCATTACTTATTCTGGACCCTATTTTGAATTTGGCATCTCTTGAAACTGGCCAAAATACCAATTTCTGACCACTTTATTGGGTAGTTGAAATAGGTAAATGAGCAGTTTCTTGTACTCAATTGACAGAATAGAAGGAATACTAGCGAAATAGCTATGAGTTTGGTAGACTGGAACAATGGAAAGGACCAAAAATAGGGCGTAAAGAGGGTGAAATACCCGATGCGTAAATATCGCCGTTGGGTTGTGCATTCTAACCTTACCACTCTGTAATCCAGCAAAATCACTAATCCTGCACCTTACAAGTACCAAAGATACCAGATTAGGGATTGTCAACCGTATTATAATTGTACAACTATTATAAATATCCAACTATTATAAATGTACAGCTATTATAAATGTACAACTATTATAAATGTATAACTATTATAAATGTACATCTATTATAAATGTACAACTTCTTCTTCTTCTTCTTCTTCTTGCAACACACCGGCCGTATCCCACCGAGGTGAGGTGGCCCAAAATGAAAAACAAAAGTTTCTCCTTTTAAATTTAGTAATATATACAGGAGAAGGGGTTACTAGCCCCTTGCTCCCGGCATTTTAGTCGCCTCTTACAACACGCATGGCTTACAGAGGAAGAATTCTGTTCCACTTCCCCATGGAGAAAATGTACAACTATCTACTACAAATGTACAACTATCAGCTGAATGCTATTATTTCAAATACCTTGACAACATAGAATGTTCCAGGTCTGAGATTAATGGCCTGATACAAGGTGTCGGAGATATTCTTACGGTAAATAATTTTTTGTCCTTCTTGGATGTGCATCTCATACTTCCACTTCTGCCATGCACCGGACCCTGATTGATAAATGACAATGTATTAACAACAACAAATTATTTTATATCGTAAATACAACCTGTAATTCCTTTCCCATGACAGCTGGGAGTATCAGGAACAAGGTTAAATACAAAATTATACAGTGGACCCCCGCTTAACGATCACCTCCCAATGCGACCAATTATGTAAGTGTATTTATGTAAGTGTGTTTGTACGTGTATGTTTGGGGTCTGAAATGGACTAATCTATTTCACAATATTCCTTATGGGAACAAATTCGGTCAGTACTGGCACCTGAACATACTTCTGGAATGAAAAAATATCGTTAACCAGGGGTCCACTGTATACGTAATATGTATAAAGTTTTGGTAATCAAATGGTCACATACAAAGTTAATTTTTCATTTTATTAGATACTACTGTAGCACTGAATTATAATGATTTGAATACAATTCTACAAGTCAACCTGGGGCCTGGGGACTACCAACACCACCCACCTTAAGTGTAAGTGATTCCCTATTATTGATAAATGCTCTTAACTCCATCAGAGTCAACTGTGACATACAGTGGACCCCCGGTTAACGAACTTTTTTCATTCCAGTAGTATGTTCAGGTGCCAGTACTGACCGAATTTTTTCCCATAAGGAATATTGTGAAGTAGATTAGTCAATTTCAGACCCCCAAACATACACGTACAAACGCACTTACATAAATACACTTACATAATTGGTCGCATTTGGAGGTGATCGTTATGCGGGGGTCCACTGTACTGTGCTTTTATGAGAAGTCAGAAACAGGTGTGGTAAAATTTTGTAGACAATGGAGTTAGAGTATGTCTCTTGTGGATTCCCTCTCACACTGGTCTTCACACACATGAGAGAACTGATGACATATACTTTCATTGAGGGAGTAGATTACAACCCTGATCTATTAACAAGAAGTTTAATTAAGGATAATATTATAACATATAACAACATGACCCATTATATGTCTCTCTAATCATTTGATTACTGTCCAGAGGATGGGTATGGGGTGCATAATGAAGCTAGCAAAGTACCTACTGAAGTATCACATCAGCTAGCAATGGCACATACCCATGAGGGCAGGTAAACCCGGTGAATCCCAGCTGAGAGTGGCTGACCTTCGGGTAAACACTGCCTGGAGGTTACTAGGAGGATTTAATGGAACAGGAACTGGTTGTGTGGAACCATGAAAAGCCACCAAGCAACCAATGTTAACTCCTTTCATCACAAGGTAACTGTAAATAACAATGCTGGTTTATTAAAAGCTAAACCAAAGAACAGAACTGAATATGTGTACATCCTTAGAGGTAAAGGCTTATCAGGTAAGATTTAGCACAGTAATAAGATTGTAGCAATTTACAAACTTGTTTAAATGTAAAGTCTAGGTGCCAGAATACTATGCAACCTTGGTTAGGCTTTTATCGAGATAAAAAGGGATCCTGTTACAATCTACAGTGATGTAACACAATGTTTAGAAGTATGTCTCAATTTTTACCATACCTATTATGATAAAATGTTCCATTATTCAGCTCTTCAGTTAAGACCTCATTGCCATCTGCCCAGAAGAAGCGGCTATTAAGGTGCACTACAGAGCGAAGTTGCTTGAAGAAAGCTTGCTGTGTGTTGGCCCTTAAATTTGTCACTGAAGTCCTGAAAATTCCCAATATCATAAGGCCATATTTTAATAGAAACAAAGCAATTGAATTATCCATGGAGAAAAGGAGAAGAATTCTTCCTTTGTAAGACATGCATGTTGTAAAAGACGACTAAAATGGCGGGAGCAAGGGGCCAGTAACCCCTTCTCTTGCATAAATTACTAAATGTAAGAAGGAAAACTTATTTCTTCATTTTCAGGTCACCCTGCCTTGGTGGAGGATGGCCAACATGTTTGAAAATATTAATGCAAAAAATCTTAATGAAATATTAAAATAATATAGCACAAGTGCAGGAGATAAATACAGCGGTATCTAGAGTTACGAACTTAAGTGCCGATACCGAACGAATTTGTTCCCATAAGGAATAATGTAAATTAAATTAATCCGCTTCAGACCCCCAAAATTACACTTACAAAAGCACTTACATAAATGTACACTTACATAACTGTTCGAGTTTTGAGCTGTTCGTATCTCAAGGTACCACTGTAATATGTCATCAGAAATATTAATACTGTATAGTGTAGATCAAAATGTAAAACACAGTAGCATCACAAGACATGGAATGTATAATTTTGTAGCATTTCGGTCAAGACTCACCCATCTAGTGACACTGCCAGCATTGTATTGTTTTTTCGATCTGCTACAAGAACCTGGAAATTAGGAGGATCCAGAACAAGTCCCCCTAAATCAGATGCCCACAGAACAGTCATAGGTTCTCCCACCTCCAAAAATTCGTCATTCAAATTAAGGCGGTGTAATCCTTTATCAAGGTCCTCAGAGATCCACCAAATGTATCTGACGAAAAATAATATTTAAAGAATTTTACATTCATATAAAAGGAACATACAAATTTTATACAGAATAATGGTGCTTCCAAGATCCATTGTGCACGTACAGTATGTGTTGTATGTATTGGAAGATATATTTATTAGATCAAAACAAAAATTTGGCTCTAGCTTACCCATTATATGGATCAACCTGGAGATGTTTTGCTTCATAGTGAAGTTCTCCATATATTAAAATGGGATTCTTCCCCATTAGATCACAACGCCAAAGTTGCCACATCTGATCCCTTGGGGATTCAAGGTGAACAATGTAGTAGAGATAACCATACAACCAGTCAACAGAGAGACTTAGTGGATAACCATGGATGTGGTGTTGTGTCAGAAGTATTCGATGTTTATAAGTAGACAGTAGCAGCTGGTATATAGACCCACTAGTGTCACTAATATATACTATATTCAAAGGAATATGTACTGCAATTCCTGAAAAAAGATAGAATTTCTTAATTACCAGACATTGCTAAAAAGATACTGGAAACCTACTGTACACAACAAAAATGTCCTTTAATATATTAATAAAATTAATTTTACTTATGCCAGATGGAAATTTTAAGTCAGACATACCTGTAATATTATGTTGTCCAGAAGAGTTATACAAGTGGGTTGGGGTATCCATTATTTCAAGGCCTAGTTTTAAGAGGCTTGGACCTGACGTTAGAAGTAAATAGCCTTGACCATCATCAACAGCTGCAGCATTGATAAACATTGATAAACATTGATAAACATCTACAGAGTTCCACAGTCAAACATTAGCCAATTTAGTCAAAACCTAGGAAGTATGATAACTGATGCACGCATGAACAAAGATCACTTACTACTCTCAGGTGACTTCAATATAAATCTCCTGCAAGACCAGGACCCACACGTTACTGAATTCACAAACACAATGAGTAACTGTATGTTGCTACCAACAGTAACAAAACCTACAAGAGTTACAGAGACTAGTGTTTCCCTACTTGACCACATCTGGACCAACACCATATCCCCTTTAAAATCAGGCATAATTACAGATAATACCACAGACCACTACCCTACTTTTCTCATAACAACTCTTGGTAAAGTACCCCAAGACACTACTAAAGTCACCTTCAGACTTCACAATGAGGCAGCCATTAATAACTTCACAACAGCAGTAGCAAACATTGACTGGCACACTGAGCTAGAAATCTATACAGATATTGACGAATGTATTAATAATTTTCTGAAAAAGACCCAATACCTCTATAACAAGCACTGCCCTAAAAAAACTAAACAGATGACAGCTAAGAGACTGAACAGTCCCTGGTTAACACCCAGCATTCTCAAATCCATAAATACAAAACACCAATTTATTTATTTATTTATTTATAATTTGAGCACACTTACAGAGGTACAAAAAAATACAGATAAGAGCAGCATGCCAAAGCCACTTATACTATGCATAGCATTACGGGCTGGCTTAAAATTAACTTAAGATTAACTAAGCAATGATGAAATCAGTGAAAAACATTAATGTAAACTGATTACTATAAAGCACAAGTGAGTATTACAAAGACAGGTCATATGGTTGCATGCATTGTTGTAAATTCAGTAGAATGGAGTATTCTGTTAGGTAGTGTATTTAAAAAAATAAAGTTAGATTGGTTTTAGGTTTAACATTTATGTGATATAATTGTGAGAAACATTTAAGATATACAATTTATAAGGTTCAGTTATTCAGTATTTATTTGGTTTTGGGTGAGTAAGTGATCTTTGAGAAGAGACTTGAATTTATAACAGGTAGTGTTTCTTTTATATTTACAGGTAATGAATTCCAGATTTTAGGGCCTTTTATGTGCATTGAGTTTTTGCATAGCGTGAGATGGACACGAGGAATATCAAAGAGTGATCTGTGCCTTGTGTTATGGTCATGTGTTCTGTTGAGGTTGGCAAGGAGATGTTTGAGGGGAGGGTTAATATCAGAGTTGAGTGTTCTATGTTATGTAATAGGTGCAGTAATAAGTATGGATGTTTTGTATGGTGAGTAGGTTGAGTGTATTGAATATTGGTGGAGTGTGCTGCCTGTAGTGAGAATTTGTTATCATTCTAACTGCAGCCTTTTGTTGGGTAATTAGTGGTCTGAGATGGTTACTTGTTGTTGAGCCCCATGCACAAATTCCATAGGTGAGATAGGGGTAAATAAGAGAGTGATATAGGGCCAGGAGGGCTGACTGTGGAGCATAGTACCGTATCTTCGATAGTATGCCTACAGTCTTGGAAATTTCTTAGAAATTGTTGTATATGTGTATGAAATTTGAGTCTATTATCAAGGTGGATTCCTAAGAATTTTCCCTCTGTTAGCTTTGTGATAGGTGATCCGTTTACATTATGTTAAGAGGGACATCTGTAGCTCTGTTACCAAACTGAATGAAGTAGGTTTTGTCAATGTTTAGTGAAAGTTTGTTAGTACTCATCCAGGTAGATATTTTCTGTAATTCGGTATTTACAGTATTGGCTAGCGTGACTGGGCTCGGGTGGGAGAAGACGTATGTTGTGTCATCAGCAAATAGTGTGGGTTTGAGTAATTGAGAAGCATTTGGTAGGTCATTTATGTATAGGAGAAAGAGAAGAGGCCAAGGACACTTCCCTGTGGGACACCAACTGTAATTGGTTGTGCAGAAGAGTTTGCCCCATTTGCGTACACATATTGGCTTCTGTTGCTGAGGTATGACTTGAGGTAGTTGAGGAGTGCCCTCTTATACCATAGTGTGACAATTTTACGTGGAGCAAGTCATGGTCAACTGTATCAAAAGCTTTACGTAAGTCAATGAAGATCCCCAGTGGGACTTCTTTTTTCTCTATTGCAGTGTATATATGTTCTAGCATGTGTATAATAGCATCATTAGTATTTTTATTAGGCCTGAATCCAAATTGGCAGGGTTGAGTATGTTTTGGGAGATAAGGTAGGAGTAGATTCGTTTATGAATTAATTTTCGAAGATTTTTGAGAGAGGGTGTAAGTCGGATATTGGCCTATAGTTATTCAACTCTGTTTGGTCTCCTCCTTTGTGGATCGGGGTGACCCTTGCTATTTTGAGTACTGTAGGAAGGTGAGGATTCAATGGATTTGTTAAAGAGTGTTGCAATGATTGGTGATAGCACTTGTGACACTTTTTTGTATATAAAGGGTGGTAAGGTATTTAAATCTCCTGCCTTGTTTTTTAGTGCGTTGATAATAAGGGAGACTTCGTATGGGTTAAGTCGGAGCTAGGAACAGTGTGTTCGGGTAGTTGCCGGTGAGGTAGTCATTTGGTGGGGTATCTGAGCTTGGGATTTTATTGGCAAGGTTTTGTCCTATAGTGGAGAAGAAATCATTGAGTCTGTTTGCTGTTTCTGTTGGTGGGAGTTGGGGTTCATCTGATTTTGCTAATTTTATTTCGCTATTTCGTGATATCTTTTTTGTTCCCAGAATTTCTGATAGGGTTTTCCAGGTCTTTTTTATATCACCTCGTAAGTTGGATAATCTGTTCTCATAATACAGAATGGGTCACATAACCAGAGACCAAACAAAACGTTACTCGTCAATCCTAACCAGCCTGATAAGAAGGGCAAAAAAATTGTATATGAGAACAGATTATCCAACTTACGAGGTGATATAAAAAAGACCTGGAAAACCCTATCAGAAATTCTAGGAACAAAAAAGATATCACGAAATAGCGAAATAAAATTAGCAAAATCAGATGAACCCCAACTCCCACCAACAGAAACAGCAAACAGACTCAATGAGTTCTTCCACCTATAGGACAAACTTGCCAATAAAATCCCAAGCTCAGATACCCCACCAAATGACTACCTCACCGCACTACCCACCACACTGTTTCCTATCTCCCCTAACCCTACAAGTCTCCCTTAATTAACAAACACTAAAAAAAACAAGGCAGGAGATTTAAATACCTTACCACCCTTTATATACAAAAAATGTCACAGTGCTATCACCAAAATTGCAACACTCTTAACAACATCATTGAATCCCTCCACCTCCCTACAGTACACAAAATAGCAAGGGTCAACCCCGAACCACAAAGAGGAGACTAAACAGAGTTGAATAACTATAGTCAATATCCAACTTACACCCTCTCTCAAAAATCTTCGAAAAATTAAAACCAAAACGAATCACTCCTTTCCTACTTATCTCCAAAACATACTCAACCCCTCCAATTTTGGATTCTGCGCCAAATACATATACTAAATGATGCTATTATACACATGCTAGAACATAATATACACTGCAATAGAGAAAAAAGAAGCCCACTGGGATCTTCATTGACTTACGTAAAGCTTTTGAATACAGTTAACCATGACTTGCTCCACGTAAAATGTCCACACTATGGAAAGAGGGCACTCCCTCAACTACTCAAGTCATACCTCAGCAACAGAAGCCAATATGTGTATGCAAATGGGCCAACTCTTCTGCACAACCAATTACAGTTGGTTACCCACAGGGAAGTGTCCTTTGGCCCTCTTCTCTTTCTCCTATACATAAGATGAACCTACCAAATGCTTCGCAATACTCCAAACCACACTATTTGCATATGACACTACATACGTCCTTCTCCCCACCCGACCCCAGTCACGCTAGCCATACTGTAAATACCGTTACAGAAAATATCTACCTGGATGAGGAACAAACAAACTTACACTAAAACATTGACAAAACCTTCCTCATTCAGTTTGTAACCAGAGCTACAGAATGTCCCCTCTTAACATAATGATAAACGGATCACCTATCACAAAGCTAACAGAGGGAAAATTCTTAGGAATCCCCTTGATTAAAAGACCTCAAATTTCATACACATATACAACAAATTTCTAAGAAAATTCCAAGACTGAAGGCATACTATCGAAGATACGGTACTATGCACCACAGTCAGCCGCTCCTGGCCCATATCACTCCTCTTATTTACCCCTATCACACTCTAATGGAATTTGTGCAAGGGCTCAACAACAGTACCATCTCAGACCACAATTACCCAACAAAAGGCTGCAGTTAGAATGTAACAAATTCTCACTATAGGCAGCACACTCCACCAATAGTCAATACACTAAACCTACTCACCATACAAAACATCATACCTTTTTCTGTAACACCTAAAACATAAATAAACACTTAACTCCTGAAATTTAACCCTCCCCTCAAACATCTCCTTGCCACCCTCACAGAACACATGACCATAACACAAGGCACAGATCACTCTTTGATTTCCTCGCCCATCTCACACTATGCAAAAACTCAATGCACATAAAAGGCCCTAAATCTGGAATTCATTACCGTAAATATAAAAAAACACTACCTGTTTATAAATTCAAGTCCTCTTCTCAAAGATCACTACTCCCCCAAAACAAAATAAATACTGAATAACTGAACCTTATAAATTGGTATATCTTAAATGTTTCTCACAATTATATCACATAAATGTAACCTACAACCAAATCAAACTTTATTATTTTTTAAATACACTACCTAACAGAATACTCCATTCTACTGAATGTACAACAATGCATACAACCATATGACCTGTCTTTGTAATACTCACTTAGTGCTTTATAGTAATCTGTTTACATTAAAGTTTTATCACTGATTTCATCATTGCTTAGTTAATCTTAAGTTAATTTTAAGCCAGCCCGTAATGCTATGCATAGTATAAGTGGCTTTGGCATGCTGCTCTTATCTGTATTTTTTGTACCTCTGTATGTGTGCTCAAATTTTTAAATAAATAAATAAATAAATAAATAAATGATAATCTTATTTACTTGATGTTAGTGTGCTACTAATCATTAAGTCATATACTGTACTGCCTTCAGTGATCTGCATCATATTGTATGGGCTTTGCAAATAAATAGACTATACTGTATACTGGAACACTCTTCTCATTTATTTTTATCATTTAAATTTCTAGTCACCGAGTGATGAACAGAAAGTGAGGGAAAATAGCAGAAGGAAAGGCAGAGAAGCAACAAAGGTGAGCACACAGACATAAGGAAGTCACAGTCAGTAGAGAAAATCATTGTACATAATTTGAATTGAACAGCAACACAAAAAAACATGTAGCATCCAAGATTATTTAGGAATTACCTGGAGCACTGGATAAGTAGTAACTTTACAACATGGCAGGAACCTTCACCTCGATGGTTGGTGGAGGTTAAGTTGAGAGGTATGTTTGTTTGCGGATAATTCAGACAGGAATTTACTGACAAGAAGAAAGAAATTATTTTG